TCTATATAAAGCTTGATATGTCTACTTGTGCATTAACCAATTCAAGTCGAAAACAAATGATCTCTTTTTATGTAATCCGTATAAAAGTAAGGACTCTCCTATATCCCCTTATTACACCTAACGTGATCCTGCCTCTCAGTAATATGTAAATTTCCAAATGTGAAAACAACCGTGGTAAAGGACGTGGCAAAGAGAGTTAAAGTAGGTAAGAAGTGCTCCAAGTTTGCTTAGTAATGCGAGTAATGTTGGTCTGTGTCATTCCGACAAACTATTAGATGAAGATGTAGCCTTCAACGTCACAAATATATATAAAAACGCTACAAAAGTGGACCAGGATAAAATCCTCTGTCTGTCAGTCTCCGCTGATGTCAAAAAGAAGGCCAGGGGTTACAGTGAAACACTGCCTTTTTTTCCTGCGCTCCTCCTCATCACAGGATACCTGTCTGCAAGCCTACATTTCCAAATGTCCTTTGTAAAAAAATTTTCTTTAAATAATTTCTGTAAACACCAAATGAGAGGATGATCAAAAGCTGTTGTGATGCGAGTAACTGTTTAAAAGATTTCATTATCGCACATGGTTTTTTCACCTGCTTTCTTTTGCTCAGTTATTTTTAATAATATGGATTAATTATCATTCTTTAAAATAACATATTCTCTAATCTGAGATTACCAAAACTAACTCAGAATATTATTATTATTAATCAATCTTTGTATATACTAGAGCTGCACAACTAATCGTTAAAAGATCGCGATCTCGATTCGACCCCCTAGACGATCTTAATCCAGCATTTCTACGATTCTGCAAATCATAATTTCAAGTTTAGGAGAGAAGAAAAGGCGGCTGCACGAGTCTTTTCATTGTTTCACACACGATGCTCAGTGACATCAATTTAGAGTTATGATTACGACAAGCATTTGATATGTTTTTTCTTTCATAGCGAACCCACAGTTGTGCATGAGAATAAATGTTTACAATGTCAGTATAACTACTCTAGCCTATATATTGTTGAATATAATCTGATAATGGCAAATGTCTGATTTTACCAGTAAATTAAATGGTCTAATATGACAGATTGCAAACATATATCTCAAACATAATAATTCAACATCAGAATTATTATAAGAATAGATTAATATAGAATATAATTATTTATAGAAACCAGTAGACCTACACATAATATTATTATCGAGGTTGTGCCACATGTTTGTGCTGTTTCTAGTGTTATCACACTTTAGCCATTTATATGTTTTTAAGATACTGAAAACAACACAAATGTCAGTGTATGTCCAAACTTCTCCAGAGCCCCAAAACACCCTCAGACCCCAGAGGGTTTAGATTCTTTTTGCTTTGGTTGGTAATGTTGTGTTTATAATTGCCTGTGTTCACAAACTATTTTTTGTCATTGTTTCTTCATCGATTGTGTTATACTATGTTCTGGTGTGTGCTTTGTTTTCCTCTGTGTCTTCGTTCCTCTCTCTTGGATTACTGCAGTTTATTCGCAGCTGTGCCTAATTGTGTGTGGTTTGTATGTGTGTGTGATTAAAAATAGATATTTTGTATCATTAATTCTATAAAAAACTAATGTAAAAAAACCCTAACAAGATCAGTGAACTATGAATATTTAAGTGGAAAAGTCAAAATTATTGAATATAACAAAATTATGGGACAAATATGGATTTGTTTTGTTAATGATAAATGTTTGAATTTCACTTATAATAGAAGATACCAGGTGTAAGCATTTCTCGGGCTGGGCGGTTAATCGAAAAATAATCGAAATCGGCATTCATAACCTAGAATCGATCTGATTCTCCCAGGTTGATTTTATTGATTATTTTCACTACTGTGTGTAGTCACGTGACTCCACTCTGTTAGGGCTGATATATAGACTTTTTTCTTGGCAGCTGCATAGAGGGCGCCACAACGACTAGCGTCTTCTGGTAGAATGTTTAGAACTTCCATTTACAGTGTTTACAAGAGGTAATTTGTGATCCAAAAATGGGTTTTAATAGCGCTTTGAGTGGATTACAGAGTGTTTTTGTGACACACAACTTTGAAAAGTGTGTTAAAGCCATTATAATTTGTCAGATGATCACGTGTCTGCCGTCAGAAAGACAGTGTTTGTGTGTGTTTCCCTGTCCTGTCAGCTGTTAGCTCAGTGGCTCTTCAATACACACACACACACACACACACACACACACACACACACGCACGCAATACTACACTGAATGACAGAGCTAACCAGATTACTGGCAAAAATGACCAATAAAAGTCTGTTATTGACACTCTGCTGGCAGATTTGTTGTTCATTCTAATACAGTGTTTCACTATCATTTCAAAATGCCACTTTATTTTCACTTTGTCGTAGTTATTAAATCAGTGTGTTAGTGGGACAGTACAGTAGGCTATGTGTGTGTGTGTGTGTGTGTGTGTGTGTGTGTGTGTGTGTGTGTCAAACATTTTGGTGAACTACATTTGTTTGGGTTGGTTACATATTTAAAAGAAAGAGAAACTGTTGACTTTAGCGATGATGAGATTAAATTTCAACAATGTTTTTCACAATTGTCATAAATATTTTACCAATGATGCAGCATGGGGAAGTTCCTGAGTTTGCAGTTACCGAAATGCCAATACAACAGCACTGGTCTGCAAAATTGCTTCTTTAGCATGTGTGTATCTGCTCCGCAACTGCTGCGCACCTCTTAATCTTGCTCAGCGCCAAGCAAATTAACATCGAGTGATGTGATGCACCAAACATTCTAAGCACAGCAATGATTGTACGCTCCAGAAAACAGCAGGTGCTGATCACACCAGCGTTATCGTTTGTGTCAAAGTGTTAAGTGTGTTCATTTATAAAGTTTATTTAAGTTCTATGAACACAGCTGGTCCTGCATTAACCAATTTATGATTCACCAATCAGACGATTCCTAAGCCACTATAAATAACCTAAGTTCCATATCGCAGCTATCTTCATTTTGAAGAATACCCCCTTCCACCCCTACTCCTCCTCCTTTCCAAGGTGGGTTGCACAGTAGCCCAGTGGTTAGCATTGAACGTCACTGGTTCTAGGTCATACCAAGCCAGTCGACATTTCTGTGTGGAGACACATTCTCCGTGTTCGCATAACGAACCCCCCTTCACAATCCAACTTGACTAATCTAAATTGGCACCATAGACATGCTCCTGGTAAGTAGGTGTCTCCTCTTAGCAATCCCTACTTGTTCATCAATTTCAACAGCAGGTGAGTTTCGAGATCTACCTGAGCTCAAACTCCCCTCTTGCCCTGCAAGGGGAGGGAGCCCCGGGCTCGAAGATCTTATGATCTCAGGGCTCTTTCCTGGGACAGCATGCCAAACACGCTTTATTATCAATCATCAGCAAAGTGTGAACTCTTGAATTTTCTTTTATTATTCAGAGATTTATCCTCATAGCAGTAGAAGGAAGCCTGCGTACCAGCCACTGGTCTTAAAATATACAAGCATTAAATGTGGAGGAATTAGGATACACAGAGTTTTTTTTAACTATACAGTGGGGTGGGACTGTTGGGTAAGGAAGTAAATTTTCAAATGGAATGGATAGAGAATTAAAAATCAACCTGCAGAAACTGTTTAGGAATTATCAAAGTCATTTCCTTGATGTTTAAAGAATAATTAAACTGAGTTGTTTTAAGAATTGTTCTACTCTTTTTTTTTTTTTATAACATTTAGTATAAAAAAGCCTCATGGCAGAATTTCACAAATGTGTATATTCTAAACAAAAAGAAAGAAATCTAATTTTTTATCTACAGAAAAAAATGGTTGTTTTGGTTATTGACAATTAAATAAAAGTTAAAAAAAAACTGCTGTGGGGTTGGAACACATTAAAATACTTTCACTTTCTGCCATGTCAGGTGATTTTCCGTTTTCCTATAAGACTCATGATTGACAGGCAACTTGTTTTAGCTCGTGAACAAATTCTTCACATGAGGAAGAAGACTATCATATTCAGGTTAGACTTTACTTCATTATATATATAAAAAAAATAACTTTACTTTGTGCCAATGCTTATAACTATGAGTGATTAAATTGTGATACACAGCATGTTCCAAACAGTCCATCAGGTTTATTTGTATAGTACTTTAGTTTGCCTTACCAGTACTAGTTATTTGGCACTTCTATCTAAAGCTAATTAGAGGTAAAGTATAGTATAGTATTGTATAAATTATACACAAAAAACTGTAATACTACATTTTATAAATGATTTAATTACAGCAAATTGGTTTGATGAGTTTCAAAACATTTTAATTAATATTTGAGTTGAAATATATATGAGTTTTAAATAATTATTGATGATTTGAGCTGTTTTCCTCATTTGGACAAAAGAAAAGAAATGTCAAATATGACTTGTATACTATACTCAAAGGGGCACAATGCAGAGAATACCAGCATGCACATACTCATACAGACACACACAAAATAAATATAGTTATATTTATAAAAAAGTGAGGGCTCACCTGAAAATGGTAGTCTTCTTCTCAGTGTTGTCAATTTGCTTATGTGCCGTAAACAAACGTTTCCTGTCAGACACATTTATTTATAGGACTATGGAAAATCACCTGACATGGCAGTAAGAGAATGTGAAAGTGTTTTTCTCTTCTGTTTATAATACTAGGCTTCACAAAAAACCTGCTTAAAGTCTTGAGCATAAGTAATGCCTGTTGCACAATCTGGGCGTAACAGACTGAGACAAAACCTTTCACATGTATTCAAAGGTAAGTGTAAAGTGACAAGCTTTGACTTGTTTTATAAAACAATATAATATAGAAGACAATGTTGTGTTTGATATAATAAGTTCAGCAGGCTTTCAAGCAAGGAAGAATAATGAGGAAATGATCGAACATTTATCTGTTTTGTGTGTAATGAAACCTCTGATGAAAGAAAACTTTTCTTTAGCAGGGCTGAACTGATCAGTCAACAAGTTACAGCAAGTTACAGCCTGGCAAAAAGCACTAAACCCAACACTTCAGGAACTAATATCTCTTTTGATTTTGTTTTAGATGGTGCAACATGTGTAAATGTGTATGAGAAAGGTGGACCTCACTACGTTCCATGTACACTGTAAGTCACTTTTATTAAATTAAATAAGTATATATATTTTTTAATTCATTGGCAGTTCATTGTACTTGTTAGAAAAAGCTACATAAAGCGAGTAAGTTAACAAAATAATAAGTGACTATTAAGTGTTGATTGAGCATTTATGATGAACACCTGTTATTAACAAGCAAAATCAAGATCAATTGTTTTTTATTTTATTTTACTGAATCTGAAATTTAGAAGACAGAAATAGTCAAACAGGTTATCAATAAGTGAATTCAGTCATGCTGTTTGTGAGTATTTTAATGATCCTGTGCTTAGATTGAGAAATGTAATTTGTTTTATTTCATTTGACTTCATCTAAGGCTATGACTGAAGTCAGTTGAAGTTTACTATTTATCTTCTTTAATCTGGTTGTTAACAGCAGGTCTTCATGTAATCTGCAATGTAATTTTCCACAAACCACATAATAAAAATAGCATAACTACTGTTACTATTAGTATACTTTTAATATAATTTATGAAATATTGATTTATGAAACAAGCGTTTGATTTAAGACACTAAAAAAGGCAATGAGATTAACTGAAAATACTTGTTTTGTTAAACACCACCATTGATGTGAACAGTGTTTGCTTAAAGCTGTGGTCACACTGGGCTTTTCTTTCTATAGACTTCCATTCATACGCACGCGAATGCGTCAGACCGGAAACGCAGGGTCATGCGTTAAGTTTCGCAGGTCGCTGCAGTGCAAAGTTCAAGCTTGGAGAACTCTGACCTGCGAAATTGCATCACTTGACTGCGTAAAACCAATCGATGATCAAAACATGAAATCTCTAGACAGAAATTTAAAACATGGAGCAATCGCTCACTTTCTTTAATGTTCAATAATCTAGTTTAATCCCACCCCTTTTCGCAACTCCGTATGACAGGATTTCACACACACAAACTCTAGTTTGACCGTAGCTTTAAAGGGCCATGAAACCCCCTTGTTTCAGCAGGGTGTTTTCACACCTCTACTTTGGAAAAAGTCAGAAAAGTGGGCGTGTCCAGCTCTGTTTATTGGGAGTGTCGGAGGAAGAAAAGTGGGATGGTGTGGGAGTGTCTATTTGGGCACGCGCGGGTTTCAGAGTCAAAATACACACACACACACACACACAGGAGAAAGTGATGGTGTTTAACCTACATGGACATCTGTAGTCGAATTATTTGCCAAATTATTAAATGGTGGACTTTAACTGCAGTTTGGCTCTTTTATTCAGGGAATTCATTCATGCCCCTCGCAATAAATGAGATATTTGATTCGAGGAACTGCTCCAAGCGTGTATTTTTCATGCAATCTTTGATACCGCACGGCGAATAAGAGAAAAAAAAAAAGCCTCAGCATTTCCCGGAAACTTAGATGCACACAGCAGGTAGCGCCAGAAAGCCGCGTGTGTTATTTTGGTCTCTAGATGCGGTAAAAACCCTACACGAGGTTAAAGTTTGGTTGTGGTGCTAACATGTTTACACTCGGTGCAATAGTTTGTTAGATACGAACAGACTGAATAAACAAAGAGCACTGGTCGCTCACTTACCAAATCTGTAGAGACAGGACAATCACCAGCAACTAGAGCCGCGTCTTTATTAAGAGGAGACTACAAACGAATCCAGATCTCAGCGTTTGCAGAGGAGAACAGCTCTCAAGTAAACAATGTTCCTCCTTAGACACGCAAGTTATTGTTGTCGAGCGTCGCGTACACTGTTAATCCACACGTGATCCAGATGAGCTCTCACAGAGAGAAAATGAAAACGAAACTTAACGGCAGCAAACTATAAAAGCAACACTTCACGCTTGTTTTGCCAACACAACGTGGCGTCTTTGCCGTCTAAACACTGTGACAGTAATGAATATTAATGAAGTTGCACAATAGAGCGCGCTGATTGGTTTGAACCAAGTCTTACTCATGCATTAATGCATCACACTGTAAGACGTAATAAGACACACTCTGGCACAGACGCCCAGTCTGCACGCTGGAATACACGCTATTATGTCAGGACCGTGATGCAGCTTCAAAAATTCGTTTTAAACAGGAAGTACGAATTTGCTTGAAATAACGCAAAAACAACCAATTTACACTTTTTAGTGAAATATAGGTGTCCTAATAGTGTTTTTAGCAGTGTGGGACACATATACCACTGTCAACAGCTCAAAACATGTGTTTTGGTGTTTCGTGACCCTTTAAGCTTGTGCATCTCTTTAGTTACTGCAGCTGTGTCGTGTCAAAAGAATCATTGGAAGGGCACATATGGGCAAAAATTTACTTTTCAAGCTGTTTGGACAGACATGTATGTAGGTATAGTGTATAGACCGTCATATCATTTTTTTCCTTCAATTTAACAACATAAAAATGGTTGACCAATTGGAGCGGTTTTCAGACCGACCGCAACTTGACATAGGAGTGCGGTTCCCCCGCCCATCGAATAGATTGACAGCTGTGTATTTACGTACATGTCTTCCTAGTAATGTAAATAATCATATCAACAAAACAGGACGTGCGTAAAGCAACCGGGAATAAGGTGTAAGTGTAAGGAATTACAGTGATTTACTTCATCAGCACAGCTGCGTGTCAGAACAATTATAAAAGAAGACGCTTCAATCCCGGATTGTGGACGTTAAATCAGGTTTATTTTGTACATTAACATAACTGATTTCCATATAGCAGTAGAGATTAACCTGAATCGTCCGCTGAAAATGCACATCACGTGACCACACACACACACAGACACACACACACACTGTCATGCGCTCGTCTGAGCAGTGCACGTCACAGTTTATCAAGGATGTACCGCTAGATCACGTCTCAGTATAGTTGTTAAACGTAATATTCAGACATTCCAAATCTCCCGGGAATTTCGGGTGCCTAGCTCAAATGCAGAGACTCCCGGATACCTGCAAACGAGTGATAATCTCCTAGAAAATGTGCTTCTCCCTCCCGGTCCTCAAATAAGTTGCGCACACTTCTCACCCCTCACCATCGGATCCCTACTCGCTCTTCAAAACGTGCACTCTATCAAACACCGCCTCCAACCCAAATCCAACAAACACCTGGGGCCTCATGTATCAACGCTGCGTACGCACAAAAACTTTGCGTACGCCAGGTTTCACGCTCAGAATCGCTCACGTTTGGATTTACTAACAATGAACTGAACGTGGGAATGTGCGCAGCTCCACGGCAGCTTTCTGGCAGGCGTACGCACTAGGGATGGGAAGATTAACCGATATGTATCGATACGCGGTTATGCGCGTTCACGATGCGAGTGCATCGGTTGAGCAGCAGAGGATGAATGAAATTTTGGAAGCAAATCGAGATACATCGGTTTTTGCGAGATGCATCGATTTTTCCGAGATACAGCTTATATTTTTAATATAGAATGTATTTTTTATTTATTAACAAGTGTTGTCAACCTGTTTTTGGCGCATAATTTAATCGACCTACATAAAGTAAGCCTTAGCAACGGATTTGCGGATGTGCACACACTACAACTCAGTGTATCAGGTGTGCGGATGAAGCTAGTGGAGCGCCCTCAGAAAGCGCGAGAAGAAGCAAAACAAACATTTTATTCCCCACTGAGTTTTAAATCTAAAGTATGGCAAGCAACATTATGGATTTAAGGATGGACGACATGACAGGACAGATGCAATTTGCAAAATGTGCCGCGCATCTGTAAAATACGCGGGCAGTACGACTATATCTCACTTGAAGCGGCGCCACGGTGTTGTTGTGAAAGCATCTTCCAGTGTTTCTGCATCCCCGGCTTTCGCACTGCTTCAACCAGCTCCAAAAGTGGTGAGAAAAGCATTTAAAGTTTTTTTTTTTTTCCATGCGCAACAGTTCTGCTCGCTCTACGCCAATAACGAATGCTATTGCATTGTTCATCTGCAAAAATATTCAGCCTAGTGTCACGGAGAACGAAGGTTTTAAACACCTCCTCCTGTTAATTTTTATTTAATTATAATAATAATAATATTAATAATAATAATGATAAAAATAATTGGGTGGCACAGTGGGTAGTTTGACCACTTTACAGCAAGAAGATTGCTGGTTTGTTATATTTTTATTAGCCTGTTGTTTACAGTGACAGTGATGTTTCAAAGCAGCATAACACTGCTAGTTCACAACCTTAAGTTTTGAATAATCAGTGGCAAAATATATCTTTGTAAAACTTGTTTTCATAGTTGAAAAGTTAAATCACAATTCTTGTTGTGCAATGCTAATTTTATTTATGTTGAAAGAGTGCAAATATATACATATTTTTTTAATATATATTGCACTTATACATTCTGTTTATCTTGAAAATACTTAAATAATATGTGCTATATGTTCTAAAATGGCCCTCTACTGTAAACTGACACTCTGGCTCTGAGAGAAAAGCCAGTTTGTAAAAAAAAGTCTTGGTTTTGCTTGGTTAATAAATAATCAAACTCATTCAATGGCACAGCATCCTCTTTCATATCATCTCATAAACTTGATCTAATTAGTTAGTGCTGAAATATCGCATTGTATCGTGATATGGGTGTGAATCGTATCGTGTTGCATCGCAATATGTCACAAATGTATCGCTAATATATCGGATCGTATTCTTTGTATCGAGATGCGTATCGGATCGGCATTATAGCTTAGATGCCCAACCCTAGTACGCACATTTTTTGTGCGTCTCTTTTATTTCCTTTGGCGACTCCTAGAGGCAGTTGTGTTAAATTCCTCTCTACAAAGTGTTTGAGCCTTGCAATGGCAGCTGTATGAGACGGGTTCAGCAGGTATATAAGGTTTCCATACCATACATTTGACCAGCTAAACATTAAAGCACAATTTGCAGCGGTCGCCTGTTTTTCCCAATGTAATCTGAGCGATCTACTGCACGCACATTGCTATAAAGACACTATCTGAAGATGAATTTGCATGCGTGAATCAGAAACATTTCCATTCAATAAATGTGCAAATAAAATATGATGCTTATTGATATGAACTTATTGATGATGCCTACTTGTCTTTCTCGTGATAAATAGTTGGCAAAATCTGATATGTAGCGGGGAAAAAACAAGAAAGAACTTATCAGACGCTGGATTCGAGCCGAGTTCATGCTCGAACGTGTCAATTCATGATCACATGCGTCTTACGAGCGCGCCACTGAGACTGTTAAGTGTACTGCAACACTTTACAGATATAAACCACACTATTTCTTTTTTTAATGCACTCAGTGCGATGTTCAGACCCAACTGTGTTAACCGCATCAGCTAAACTCTCCCACTCTATTTTTTTCTTTTGTTGTTAATTCCGGAGGACAAACTTGCAAATAACACCGCTTTTCTCCGGTCTACCTCCGAAACCAGCACCTCCAATTCACATTCTGTTCAAAGTTTCTCTTCTTGCTTGCTTTTGCCATTGCTTTTTCGTTGGGTTTTGCCATTAGCATAGTCATTAGCATATTCATACGGGGGAGGAGGCAGGGAGGGGTTTTGCGCTCATGCATGTTGCGCTCAGTTTCACGTTCATTCAGATGTACAAAAGAATATGCGTGAGATTCGGCGTACGCAGTGTTTCATACATCTGAATATTTTTCTGCGTACGCACATTTACAGCTTTGTGCGTACGCAATGTTTTAGTAAGATTTCCACGCAAGTCTTCGTACATGAGGCCCCTGGACAGGGACCTTTAGTGTATCTCTCCAGGTGGCTGTGGCATTCGGACAACGCTTGCCCCCAATCACACTCTCCACCAGGGGGATAATTTTGCTACCACCATTTAGTCCTGCAATCTGTGATTTCTTGTGTACAGGAATGATGGTGCAAAGTTTGAATCATATATTCACATACAGGTATACATACTTGTATATATTTGTATATACAATTAAACCATCTGATTGGCTGATGCTTCTGTTGGAGTTTGAAAAGTTGAGAAATACCCAATTTCTGCAGCAAGCAAGGACGCTGACATAGGCACTGACAGATTCACAATTTAGTTCCACAACGCTTGACACCACCTATTCAAAGTGCATGGGAAGCATTCATGCTAACACCCTGTAAGAATTAGGTGTAATGAAGTGGAGTGGAGGTCAGAACAAGTGTTGTGTTTGTCACTGGGCTGTTCAAACCAGCCATAAAACTCATTCATTTTGATTTACCACAGTGCTTAAGGTTGATGACTTGTAGCTGGTGATAGATTTCAGGTATTGCCACACAAATGCAGGGTCATTGGTTAAAAAATATCCAGCTTCCCTTAGCTGCTCTAATTGCCTTTGTTAGTGTGGTTTTGACCTGCTTATGTTTATGACAGGGATTTGATCTAAATTCCAAAAATCCCCCTAATATAAATTAACATGTTTTCTTTACAAAACAATATAACTACACAGCAAATAATGACTGGCTGATATTTATATTTACAGATGTATTACATAGTATTCCTTCAGTAGCTCTAAACTGTTCCAAGACTTTATGGGATAATAAACATTATTTCTGTAAATCGGTTTTAATAAACATGTGTATTGACACAATTTTTAAATTGTCAATAAATTGAATACTATTGATTACAAATGTTTTGTTATATTTAGCTTAAAATCTACACACAAAATTAATAAAAATATAAATTTCTTCAACAGGGATAAAAAGAGGAGATCTGAATGAGTGTCAATGCAGATTGACACCTCCTGAAGCAAGGCCAAAAAAAATGGAACTTCTGTTTCACAGACTCAATCTACAACTCAAACTAAGAGCTGCAGATGTTCTTCAAATTAATAAACATTCAATACAGCCTCAGCAAACCTGTGCTGAAGAGGAGCTGATTCAGACTTTCATACAAAAACTACTGATAAATAACTACAGGGCAAGACATATTAAAACTAAAGTTAACAGTAAACAGCTTCAAACAAGTTTCAGTGACCCATGTGAAGACGAGAGTGATATTTTTGATGATGTTCTTAAAAACAATAGATCAAGTCAGCCCACTCTTATTCACCCAATGGATGTTCAGATGGCTGTGTTTCATCGTGCTGATGGTTTCCTAAAGCAGCTGATGGTCACTAAACTGTCCCAGTGTCAGTTCGCTCTGCCTCTGCTTGTTCCTGATCCAGAAACACAACAGATTGAGTTTCCTCTCTGGACATTCAGACAAATCAACAAGAGCTGGAAGATCAGAAACACCAACAATGAAACCATCAGTCAAACCCAGCCCATCTACAAGGCACAAACTCCAATGGTGTTTTTCTTCAGGTTTGGCTCTGTGTCTTCATCCAAGTCTCAGCTGATGAACAGTCTGATCAATGACAAACACAACACGTTCTTCCACAGGAACTGCCCAGGCAGCAGCAGGTCCAGAGTCCTGATGGATGGAATGGTGGAGATCGCCTGGTTCTGCCCTTCTGGGAGAAACACAGATAAATTCAGTGACTGTGTGGCCTTCTGTAATCTACATGGAGATGCAGGAGACCATGAGAAACAGTGGAACATCCTCACTGAGATGGCCTCAGTCAATGTGCTTCTTCTACAGCAACTTCAAAAGAATGACAGAGATGGAACTGTAATCCAGAGCCTGTACAAGAACAGAAAGCCACTTATCTGTCTTTTTAATGAGGATGAATCTGCTGTAACTGAGATGAAGAAGGGGAAATACAAGATCGGTCTGAAAAACAGAAATCAGTCAGAAATATCTGAAGAACTCAGAGGAGCTATAAGTGATTGTCTCTCAGAATCCTCTTCCACATTTAGACTTGAAGATGTGTCCAAACACTCAGACATCAGAGTAGATGAGGAAGATGATGAAGACTGCAGGAGAGGAAGAGCAGCAGCACAGCAGATGATCAGTTTACTGGAGGAGAAAAAACTGACAGAAATCAAAGAATCATTCCTGCCTCATCAGGGGAAACTGTGGCATCAGTGGAGTCAGAAGAACAAAGAAATACATCGACCTCAAGGAGATGACAAAGGAGTGTATATGAGTAAAAAACAAGCAGAAATGAAGAAAATCCGTAAACAACAGCATGAGTCTGACATCAGTGATTTCATGAAGGTTTTTTTTAGACATGAGAACCTAAATGGTGAAAATGAAAAAATGTTTTTCCTCAAATGGCTAAAAATTCTCCTGGATGAACACACATCAACCGATCTTTCGGCTCTGCAACACAAATATGATGAAAAGTGGTCAACAGTCATGAAACTAAAAAATAATAATGATAAACCTGAGCAAATTAAAGCTGAACACACTAAACTTGAGAGAATATCTGAGGATCTTCAAGCTGCAGCCTTTGGTCTGGAGCACATCATGAGGGAGATCGGTCAGATCTATGAATCATGTTCATCTGTGAAGGAGAACAAGAAAGATCTGCCGGTTCACTTCTCTTCTCTCCCGAGTCTCGCAGCAGAGATGATGATCTCTGGGTTTCCACTGGAGCTGATGGATGGAGATGCTGCTCATGTTCCTCTGGTCTGGATCTCTGCTGTTCTAGACCAACTCGTCCAGAAACTGGGAGACCAGACCAGAGTCTTTGTGTTGTCAGTTTTAGGGATTCAGAGCTCTGGGAAATCCACCATGCTGAACGCCATGTTTGGACTCCAGTTTGCAGTTGGTGCTGGCAGGTGCACCAGAGGAGCTTTCATGCAGCTGGTCAAAGTGTCTGAGGAGATGAAAACACAGATGAACTGTGACTATATTCTGGTTGTTGATACTGAGGGTTTTTGTGCTCTAGAACTGGCTGGAAGGTCAACAAGACATCATGACAATGAATTGGCCACATTTGTTGTTGGTTTTGCAAATCTGACACTGGTCAATATCTTTGGGGAAAACCCGTCTGAGATGCAGGACGTTTTTCAGATTATTGTTCAGGCCTTCATGAGAATGAAGAAGGTCAGACTGAATCCCAGCTGTGTGTTTGTGCATCAGAACATTTCAGACGTCACAGCTGGAGAAAAAACTATGGAGGGAAGGAGGCGATTGCTAGAGAAAGTGGATGAGATGACAAGACTTACCGCTGAACAGGAAAACTATGGTGCAGAATACTTTGATGATGTCATTAGATTTGATGTTCAGAATGATGTGAAGTATTTTGCTCAGCTCTGGGAGGGCAGTCCACCAATGGCTCCACCAAACCCAAACTACTGTGAGAACATCCAAGAACTAAAACAAACGGTTGTATCTCATGCATCAAAATCAAGTGGAATAATGCTGAAAAACTTAAAAGATTGTATAAAAGATCTCTGGGAGGCATTACTGAATGAACAGTTTGTCTTCAGCTTTCGAAACTCTCTGGAAATGTCAGCTTATAAGAAACTGAATACTGAATACAGCAAGTGGTCCTCAATTCTCCACAGTGCCATTGATAAAATTGTGAAAAAACTACACAACAAAACAGGAAATAAAGCAATTTGTGGGGTTGAGAAAACTGATCATCAAACAGAACTGAAGAAGGCGACTGAAGAAGTGGAAAAATCAATGTCTGAATTTTTTGACAAAGACACAAACAAAGATATACTGATTCAGTGGAAAACATCATATGAAACCAAAATTAAAGAAGTGCTTTTGAAAGAAAAAAAGAAATTAGATGATATACTTCAACATAGAGCAACATTAGCAACCACTTTTGTTAAAATCATCTGTCAGAAACTTAAGGAGCCCATTGAGCAGAGCATCTACAGGAAAACCTCCAGAGATCTGACTGATGAAATGAGATCAAACTGTGAATCACTGAATGGAAACAGATCAAATCTGGAGAAACACATCCTGAAGACACTGGCAGAAGAGGAGGACTTTGACAAATACATGAACTACATTGAAAATCCCAGAAATCACTACAAGAGGTTCATCAGAGATGAAGTCAGGCGCTACATCAGAGATAAGTTCAGCGTCAGTGTTTTACCCAAGATGAAGGAGAACATTAAACTCCTGCAGCAGAAGATCATGAACGCAGCACATCAATCTACTGAACATGTTCAAGTCAACAGTGGAGATGTTGGTTTGTGGTTGAAGAGTTTCACACAGCAGCTCTCAGATCAGCTGATCTTCTCTGAAAAAGACCTCAGTGGAGTCAAACATGATGATGTTGATGATTTCAGACTCCTAGAAGATGTGATCAGACAAGAGCTTCCTGCTGTAATGTTAGACATCAGCAGCAGATTCAACACAGACACATTTCCAGTAAAGCTGGACTATAAGTTCAGGCCAGATGAGCTTCTGATTGATCACTTCTGTCAGTGCTGTTGGGTTCAGTGTCCGTTCTGTGGAGTCACCTGCACAAACACCAGAGAAAACCATGATGGAGATCACAGTGTTCAGTTTCATCGTAGTATTGGACTGTATGGGGTGCATTACAGAGATGCATCAATCTTGTCAACCTATATCTGCACATCAGCATTAGCAAACAGCAATCTGTATTTCTATCCCATTGACTCTGATGAAAAAGTCCTCTGGAGAGAATACAGAAGAGCAGGAGGAGTTTATGCAGACTGGAGCATCACTCCTGATCTCTCTGAACTGCCCTACTGGAAGTGGTTTGTGTGCAGATTCAAGAAGAATCTGGAAATATACTATAGTAAAACATTTGAGGGGAGTGGTGAGATACCCCATAAATGGGGAAACTACTTAAAGAGGGATGCTACTGCGAGTTTGGATAAATACATGTAATTGATTAAATTAAATGTTTCTTAAAGGTCTTAAATTCATAGTGGGTATGAAATGAGAGTGAGACAGTAGGACCAAAATTCTATTTCACTGTTTATAAGTGTGGTCCACAGTATAATTTTAAGGCTTGGTTGTGTTTATAAGATGGAACGCAATGTGTGCTAATGCTTCATTTATAGAAAATCACGGTATTTTCTCATATATATTTGATTATGTACAGTTTCTCAGCTAACATGAAAACAACATATTTCGTATTTCCTCTGCGAGACCCGCCTTCAATAGGCTCTGATTGGTTAGCTAGCATAATGTGCTGTGATTTGCAGATCAGCTTCACATCACCAGGAAAAGTGTCAAGGCCCTACAAGCACGCGCTTTTGAGCTGTGTAAACAGTCAGTCAGAGTAGTTGTTAACCGTATCAGTTTGAGCCTGAATCATACAGAAAATGACACAGAAAAATAAAAATATAAAAAATAAAATATGACAAGTGTTTTTACATATATTAGGAATAAGCATGTTTAAGTCATATGAAACGTTCACATATCTTTTGCGAGTTCGTTATTTGAGATGTAGAATGCTGGGAAAGTGGCCATATAGAGACACTGAAAGCGTCCACATAGAGAGACACTGTGGCGCTGCTGAAGATTGTGGGTTTTTTCAGTGGATTGACTGATAAATATGAGTCTGCAGCTAAATTATTAGCGGTGCCAAACGGCATTGTAAACAGGATGTAAACAATTTCCCATTGTTTACATTCTTGTTTATGTCCTTGCTACAACATACCAATAACGCTATACACTGCGTCTGTAATAGATCAGTTTTTAACAAATAAAAAAACTTACAGGTTGTGGCTCACAGTCCACAGCTTCATCTATTATCAGGGCTCGAAATTGATTGGTTAATATCAGCTGTCAATCACTCAGCGCCTTCTGGCTTGGGATAAAAGAGAGCTACTACCGCGAAAAATTTATAAATTCTTTTTTATAAAATGCTGATAATAGAAAATAAGAATGCACAACAAATGTATTATATACATATATATATATATATATATATATATATATATATATATATATATATATATATATAAATATAAAATACATTTGTACATATAAAATACAAATATTTATAATAAATATAGGTTTAAATGAGCACAAGAACCGTTTCTCACAAGGAAATGTAACTATTTCACATTTTGTCAGTTTTGTGGCTCATGTGCTCTAGTGTAACTGTGGGTTAAGACTCAAATTCTGAACTTTCACGTTTTATTCTACGACATAACATGTTTGTGCGTATTTATTTGTTTATTATATATACCATGGATTATAATATAATAAACAGAGAGTAAATCTTTATCATGGACAATATTTCTAAAAACAAGCTAGATAAGTCGTCTGTAGTAGGGTGGTGCTGACGTTACAGACGAGCGCCCCGAAGGCTCTGTAGTCCGTTTATAGCCTGATGTAAGCTTTTCAGTTCTTGCGTTTGCATTTAAAATCCAAAAGTGCTCCAAGTTGTATTTTCATGTGATGATTATCCAGTTGAACAAAACGTGTAAAGTGTAATGAACAGTGTTTGAACACAGAGCTTATTATTTGCTTTCCTATGGGAAAGTCCTATAGGGATTTTCACGAGGGAACCGTATTTTTGCTAGCAGCTGATTCATCTACAAGGTGAGGTCATAGGTTCCCCACTCTATTTGCGGTATTACAACTAAAAAGGAGACCAACATGCAATAGCCAATCAGCTTTCTGTTATTGAACTTGAACGCGAATGTAACATCATCAATCATTTGATTTGAGTTTTGATTTTAGCTCCAACTTTCTTCAACACACCTGCCTGGAAGTTTTTAGTATACCTAGTAAGAGCTTGATTAGCTGGTTCAGGTGTGTTTGATTAGGGTTGGAGCTAAACTCTCCAGAACACTGGCCCTCCAGGACCGAGTGTGGACACCCCTGGTTTACAATATACTGATGCCCTGTTTTTCTAGGCTTTATTGGTGATGATGGTCAGAAATGTTGGACCATTGTTGCCTTTTTAGCTTATAAGTAGAGGACAGAAAATAGCCAGACAGTAATGAGTCAATTGTTAAGTAGGCAAAATAAAAAAAAACGTCATTATTTTTTAGTAAGTGTACTTTTTTTTGCTTTTATTCTTTCCATAATAAAAATATAATTGTAGAGCAACCCATGTTCTGTTGCCATTAAAATTTAACTTTAATGATAAAACTGTCCGAGATATAAACAGAAGCAAGTGATGCATCGAAGTTTGAATTAAAAAATCTTAATTGGTAAAAAAACTTAATATTAAAACATAATAAATTATAAATAATTATATTAAAAAAAATAGTTTAAAAATCTTTAATGATATTCCGGAAACTTCCTACTTTTCTGTTTATCTGTCTGACTTTATGATTTTCTTGAGTTGTGCGCGCAGTCAGCAGAGGTGCGCAATGCGGCGTCAGGCAAAAGTATTAATCAGCCTTAAGATGTTTGTTTGTTTTTTTCCTGTAATTCAATGGTGCATCTAACCTGTCTTTAGTACTGTTTAATTTGAATAAATTTATTTTGCTACTAATTTTGTGATTTTTACATTTTCTCTTTGTGTACGCATTTTTGATATTGTGATATAGGTCTTAAATTTAATACTTAATGGTCTTAAAAAGTCTTAAATTTGAAAATTTGAATTTAATCTAAATTTTAAACAAATTTTCAACAAAGTCTGATGGCCCATTCACATGGGGCATCAGCGTCAACGCTTCCCATTCACTTTGAATAGGTGATGTAGCGTTGCTGAATTGAACTGAATTGTGAGTCCGTCGACACTGCTTTAGCAACATTGCTTGCTGCAGAAGTTAGGACTTTTTCTCAACTTTTCAAGCACCAACGAAAGTGTCAGCCAATCAAATACACCAGCTCAGACAGTAGCCCATTGCTGACTAATTTCATTGGTTGAAGTTGCTATAACGATCGCGTCAGCCTCAACTTCAGACACGCCATCTGTCAAGCATTGGCGATGAAGCTCTGTGTAAATTGGGCGCAAGTTAAAATGATTTAAATCTTAATATTGATAGAAATCTAATGGTGAACCTGCAGCAAAGTTTTGATAAAAAACTAGCTTGACTGAAATCAAACAATTCATTGGCAAATGTGTGATATAAATGAAATATTTAATGCAAAAAACTCTAAAAGATAATTAAAGGTGATGTCACAATATAGCTTACACACTGCTGCCATCTGCTGAGGATTCTGTGTAAAGCAAGTCTTTTAATGCTGCAGGATTGCTGTTGACTTTGTGTTGAGATTTTGCTTTGCCTTGACAATGCTGCTGTGCTGCTATAGCAGCTCACAAAGTTTTTGTGGAATTTAAATAAATAAAAAAACTTTAAACAAGGAAAGTGCATAAAGAAGAGCATGTTGATGATGTGATGGGAAGACGTAAATAAGACTTAACTTACAAGAAGATTTCTTAATAGAATGTTTTCTGCATTTTGAAAACGGTGGCTGTTTGTTGTGCTTAAATAATTATGCAACTGTTGTTTGACTGTGCATGTGATCTGTTTTTTATGACTTTTTGTATGTTTTATATGACTTGTTTAAGAACTGTTTATTTCGAAGCAATGATGTGTTATTAAAAAATAGGAATACATTGGTAAAATAATAGCTATAAAATTACAATTACAGCAATGAGTATTTAAAAAACTGATTACATTAACTCAATATGCATAACATGTAACTGTGAATGCACCTATGAGTGAAAAATGTGAGCATTAAATGTGAATCACTACTGAGCAAAACTAGAATCTTCAGGAGGGGGTTTCAATTAAAATAAATGCAATGAAATTGATGTTTGTCATTTCGACACATGCCACCATTAGTGTTGTATACCTGAATTACTAAGCTTGATTGTTACAATAAAATTATGGATACTTTATACCAGTTTCAATATCTAGAGAAAACAATGCCACAGTGATATTTCAATTTACAGTATTTTAGCAACTTTTACTTTGTCAATTTAAAAACGTTTTGTAGATCTGCCTTTATAAATATATAAATAAATGATTGAATGAGAGGGAGTAAAAACAAAACAATAAATGTGTTGTTCTGAACTATGTAACATTCTATTAAATTATCCCATGTAGAATTATAAAAAAGTCACAAATCCTAATTTCAATTATGATATTAGAGAAGAATCTACAAAAACTAAAACTTATAAAGTAAATAAAACATAAATGAATACAAGTAAATAATCAGTAATTAACAACTATGCAAATTACAACCAATAACACACAACTAGAACAGATCAAACATACTGATGCATCAGATATGTCAGATTTAGTTTTTAATTGTTGATTAATGATAGCAGCAGGTTGATCTCAGAAAAGAGTGCGGTGTTTGTTAATTAAATGTATTTAACAATCTTTTCTTTCTCATTCTGAGGTTACATTAGTGTGTATGTGCTGTCATGATATAAAATAGTGATTTTATTGTTACTGGGCATTGTTTCGTGTACATCACTGGTCAACATTTGTGTATCATTATATAACATTTAACATATCAAAACTGATCAAAGCATTTGAGTGTGTGTGTTGCTCATCCATCACAACACACGGGCTGTGCAAACTCAAATAAAAGTGGGTATTTTGAGTAGAATCTTCAAACACAAAATAGAGATGCACTGGACAAATATTACATTTTGTAAGAATAATAGTTGCCCTTGAAAATATTTAAAGACTTATCACAGCCTGCAGAAAGTCTTACCTGAACATCAGCATGTTGGCTTTGTTTAACCTTCTGCGCAGAAAATCCCCCTATTCACATCATTCCTGAAGCTCCAGATCAACCTTCAGGACAACCTCCATCGAACCTGTCAATCAAACATCACAGCCAATCAGGACACAAGAGTTCTTCTTCCTACTATGCAAGTCAACAGGTATTCCACTTTTTTCAAAATATCTTGTGTTCAGCAGAATAAAGAAACTCATAAAGGTTTCGGGTAAACTATCCTTTTACTTTAAATCCATATGCATGAGGAGTTATGAAGCTTTAACACTGAAAAACACAACTGGACCATATTCACAAAACTAAAAATATTCTTCAAGACCTTTGTGCGCCACAGGAAAATCTATTTTATATATATTTAACATTATACAGTTTTTTTTTAATGTCTTAATAAGTACAGTATACTTGTAACATTCATTTAATTTTATGTTGTTTTCTTCTGGTACATGACAAAATGATACAAACACGTATTACAAATGATCACTGGCAGGCTTAATAAATGTAAAGTCAGATTTAATACAGTGGTTACTATGGACAAAAGTACAACATAGTAAAGAAAAACTAGTGAATCATTTTAAACTGTGTTACAAAACATCAGACCAAAAGTCTACTAGGCTGTTTTAGTCATTATTTAGTCCCATTCTTTTAACTCTGGAATTTTGGGAGTTTTCCAGTGTTTCATCATAACTTTGGCATCTATATATATATATATATATATATATATATATATATATATATATATATATATATATATATATATATATATATATACTAATCTTAAAAAGCACTTCCTCACGATGAAAGTTGCTGCACATTGTTTCTCAGCTCTTGTCTGTGAACTTAAGTGTCAATTTACAGTTTTACAACAAGATGAAAAAATGACTTTTATCTGCTAAAGTAACTTGGTATAATTATCTGACAAATAGGATAAAATGTACAAGAACATCTCAAGAATATAACTAACGTTAGAATTACGTTAGCTTTAACTTTAGAACTCTTAATTAGCTTAGTCTGTAGTTTTAATTCATTAAAATTACCTCAGGCTGCCCCATCATGTGTAAACTTAGAGAATCTAAGAAATAATTTAAAGTAGAACAAACATTGAGGGTGAAAATACATATTATAAACATAAAATGCAAAAATGGAATAGCCGCGTTGACGTTACCTTTTATTTTGAATTCCAAGCGGCTTTATGTGCTTGAAGGCCATAACGGTAATGGACGCCAGTGGT